CTGAAGACCGCGGAGCGGGGGCAGAAGCCCGGGTCAGGGAAGGGGCGCAGCCAGGGGGCCCCCGAGCCCAGGGGAGCTGGATGACGTCCTGCTGGCGGGGCCGCGGGGCAGGACGGGGGGCCTGGACTGGACTCACAGAGTGGCCACCGGGGGCGCTCTGCCCACAGCCCGAGCCCGGCAGCCCCGCGGAGGACACTGCCTCCCTGTGGTCACGCCCGGAAGTGCCCCGCGGCCCGCGAGTTCCTGCTCCGCTGCGCCGCCACGCTGGCGCCTTCCTCTCGCGCCCCCGGGGAAGAGAGGCGAGACGTTCGCCCGGGCGCAAGGGGCGCCCCAGGGGGCCCCGGCTCTTTGGGGGGCTGCTCCGCCCGAGAGCAGAGGCGCCTCGTCTCCAGGCCTGTCTTTGAGCAGGAATTCATCCCAATTGACGCAATAATGACTTAATTGACGACAGACCCCAAGACACCCGGCCTTCCAGGGGCAGGGTGTGACGCCCCTCAGTCATGGAGGTGCTGGGGGTCAGGGGTCAGGGGTCAGAGGGCGCAGGTCAGCAGGCCCTGCTCATTTGGCTTTTCTCCCGTCTTCAGTCTCTGGCGCCGTCCTGCTCTTTGAGGGGTGCAGTACAGTGCAGTCGCCCCACGACGGGGGATGGGGTCCCCAGTGTGTCCTGCAGATGCACAAGCGAGCAGCGATGGGGGCGGGGAGTCAGAGCGCCCCATCGCCGAATTTCCGTGGGGTCCTTGATTCGGGGGGAGGGGTCACCTCCCGATCTCGGTCCGCGGCCAGGCCGCTGCAGATCGCCGATCGCTCCGTCTTTCTCTGTAAGAGGGGGGTGAGGGGAGAGGGGGGGCTCCGTGGTTTTTCTCTGTGGGCCCCGTCGCCAAGGCGATCCCCGTCGCCAAGGCGATCCTTCCTCCAGCGACCCGTTGCTAAGGCTGCGACTGGGTGCCGTTGGACGGGAGCAGGCGGGTCTTGTCCTTCCCAGACCCTCGGCGCTGCAGACCCGACCCGCCTCCTAAGTCCCCCTCCGACCGGCGGGAGTTCTGACGAGTGGGAGTTCCAGGAGGCACCCGGGACAACTGACC